ACTCGCACTTACCGTCAATTGTAAATTCCATTAGTTGGACTTACCGTCGATTAAATACAGTCAATTAAATCCATAATTACTAGCACTTACCGTTCATTTAATCTCAAAAATAAAAAAATTGCACTTACCGTCGATTAAATCTATAACTAATAGCACTTACCGTCAATTTTATATTCTATCAGTTAAACTTACCGTCAACTAAACCCAAAAAATTACACTTACCGTCGATTAAATCCATAATTAATAGCATTTACTGTCTATTAAATTCAGAAATTACACTTACCGGCAATTAAAGCCATAATTACTAGCACTTACAGTTTACTAATTCCAAAAAATTAAAAATTACACTTACCGTCGATTAAATCCATAATTAATAGCACTTACTGTTTATTAAATCCAAAAATTACACTTACCGTCAATTAAATCCATAATTACTAGCACTTACCGTTTATTAATTCCGAAAAATTAAAAATTGCACTTACCGTCGATTAAATCTATATCTAATAACACTCACTGTTAATTGTAAATTCAATTAATTAAACTTACCGTCCACTAACTCAAAATAAATTACACTTACCGTCAATTTAACAATAAAATTAATGTAACTTACCGTCTATTGTAAATTCAATTTGTTGAACTTACCGTTGATTAAACTTAATATAAATCAAACTTACCATCGATTGAGTCATAAATTAATTGCACTTATCGTCAATGGTATAATTAATTTATTTGTTTTTTCTTCGCCGATTAAACCTAAATAGCAGCACTTACCGTCAATTGTAAATCCAATGATATTTTTGATACTTACTGCCGTTTAACTTAAATTACTTACTATTGTTTAAATATTTTTTTTTCATTTAAAATTGAGTTGATAATATTTATCGCATTTAAATCTGATAAAATTTCTTTGTATAAAGTAAAAAAAAAAAATGAATTGATGCACAGCCAGAATTTTTGGCTCGTTGTGAGGTTCCCTTGACCAAACATATTAACTGCATTCTTACTGCATATGTATTTGACAATCCGCATTTTCAATGTGATAATAATGTTATCTAAAGACTTGCAGATTAATGAGGGGTAGTATTTTTAGAAGTGCAATAGATTCAGAATGAATGTAAATAATCTACAGTACATTCACTTACGATAAAGTCAGTAATTCTTTAGGACACGCACATAAATACCAGTTAAGTTATAGCAGTCTCTCACGCCCAATAATCTCAATTCTAATGGCTTATTTTCCTTTCTGAAGTTTATATTGAGATCTTCAAAAAAATAATTTTGAAATAATTATTTTATTCTTTAGTTTAATTAAATTTTGTTTTTATTCCTATAATTGAGGTTTACAATAAAGATAGGATTCAGTTGTATTGTCAACTTTTTTTTTGATGTCTTAAATTAGAATGGGTGTGAAATATCTTCAGGAATTTAAATCTAATTTGTCTCAAGCTGATAATTAACACTGAGTAACATCATGGAAGCCTAACTTCACAAACTGTTTCGAGGTGATAATGAAATTACAAATTCGATCGACCCTGATAATCAGGAATTTCCTGCAAGGTGATACTTAGAACGAAGAGAAAATAATTCCCTTTTTTTCATAATGTGAATTTAGATAATAGTGTGAAAAAAAATTATGCATTAAGTTTGTGGCGAAAGTATAATTTGAAATTTTAAAAGAAGAAAATTAGTTAATAATAGTTTTAAACGGCACTTATACATTGTATTTCATTTAATTACTACTTATTAATTAAAAGTAGTATTATAATTTTTTTTTTTTTTATTGAAAATTTGACCTAGTTAAAGGTTAAAGACGATTTGAGAGAAACCTTGAAAGCTATGCGTGTGAACAAGAAATTAAAAGTTGCACTTTATGGAGAAAGTTCATTGTAATGAAATGAACTTAATCTCAAAACAATATTTTACAATATTTTTTTTTTATTAATAAAGAATGAAAAATTATTTTCGTGCAATTTTAAATTTGTTTTTATATAACAAAAAATAAGAAAAACAAGTTTTTAACTAATAAAAAAAATGTCAACGAATCTTGAGTTGAATGACATACTTAGAGAGGATGAGAAAAGCTTAGCTTAGATGTTTAGGAATTTACTATCCATTAGTAGATTGCTACTATTGATTTTAATTTTCTCTAAACCTTGAGTTATATTTTTTATCGTAAAAACGCAGCTTTTGCACTTATTTCTCACTTTACGGTTACTAGAAAATTAAAAAAATTTATACTCTATCTTGAAATTTGTATAATTTAATTTTTTAATTTAATTTTTTAAGCCGAAAAATAGTTTCATAATGTAATTAATATTTTCTTTTTTAATTTAAAAAGAAGAGTTTTTGAACCAAACATTCTAAAGAGAAAAAAAGAACGTATTTTTTCCAAATACTTTTCTCATAAATTTTTTTTTCTTTTTAAATTAAAACCCACAGAATCGTTATAAAGTGTTATTTGAGACCACTATTTTTTAAAATTCAATGATAAATTAACGCAACATAATTATTTACCCCTCGGTAATTTAATAAACCTCTGCTCGTTAAAATTGAAATTTATTTTGTAATCTAGAATACAATTTATGACAATACGGAAATTTAATTGATAAACGTTGAAATATTTTCTGCATTAATAAATAAAAATTTTATTTAAATAAAACATCATTTTAAAGCCAGTCGTTTATTTTCAGTAAATATTTAATGTCTATGTATTAAATAAAAAATTTTTAAAAATAAAACTTAATTTAAAGATGAAGGTAATATTAAATATACAAAATATAAAAGGAAAATAGTATGAAATTGTAGACAACATTTTTAAATTAATATGAAGATAATTTAAAGACCTTTAAAAAAAAATTTTAAATAATATCATAAGTTAAATTTGTAGCATAACATAAAAAAATATATGTGATGAAAAGTCCGTTATTTACACATTTTACCTCTATTATGAATATTCATGGGCAAAAGTTCATCTCACGCTTTATATTTTTTTTTCATATTTTTTAACTCTGATAAAAAGGAGAAATGAGAAAAAAAGTATAACATTTTTTCAAGGGCAGATTATTATTATTATTATTGTTATTATTATTTTTATTATTATTATTACGGGGATAGGTGAACGGGTGAATGGGTCGTTCAGTCTTTTTGTTTATTCACGTGAGACATAATCCGAGGATCTGCTACACTATCGTCTCTTCTGTACTCCCTCACTTTGCTTTAAACCAACTCACGAACGTCAGTGTGAAATATAGCATAATCTTTTGCTACAGTTAAAACTGTAATCCACAATTTCGCGTAAGAAAAATAACTATTAAATAATTCACTAGTCTGACAATTTTGGCACGTACAGTTGACAATTTTCAAGTTTGGTCAGTGATCAAATTTTTTTTTCTCTTCGCTAAGTATTTTTTTAACCTCAAATTCATGAGATGAATTTATATGTAGTTTTGATTACTTTAAGTAGTATACACCTTGGATACAGTAGTAATATTAGTTTTCAGTCAGACACTTTCTTCAAGTCCATTATCATTTTCATAGTGATTTTACTTACCGTCTGTAAAAAATTCTATTATACTTACCGTTGATTGTAAATCCACATCAATGCACTTACCGTATTTTGCAATTTTTCATAGTGACACTTACCGTTGATTTTTATTTATGTAACTTACCGTCTGCGTTGTTTTATTATGTTTGTTATATCCAGGAAGGACACTTATCGTTCACGGTAAATTATAGGTGATTGCACTTACCGTCGTTAGTTTCCTCTAATAGCACTTACCTCAATTATAACTTTTACTGATTGCACTTACCGTGAAATATCATTGCTGATAAATATCCATTGGTTTTTTAGTGATAGCACTTACCGTCGATTGGAATCCCTAGTAATGGCACTTACCGTCAATTACAAAAAAAATGTTGCAGATAATTACTGTTTTCATAGTTCTCCTTTATAGCACTTACCGTTGATTTTATCTTCAATATTTTATCTTTTTAATAATTCTATCACTTACCGTTATTTATAAATAAATAAAAATGATCTGTTACTTTTTTTTTTTTAAATTTTTTGTGATATTTATTATTTTATTCTATCTGGAATACTTTTCTAATCCACGCTTAATATCGAGTATTTCGTTTAATGACTTTTCCATTCAGGTGGACTTTTCAGCGACCATTATAAGTTCCAAGTCGAGGAAGACTTTTATAGAATTCTGTAGAATTTACTGAACCGAAAAATGTTGGTTATATATATATATATAACTGCGTTTAATTCCTAATGCCTACATTTCTAGATTAACTATAGGGAAAAAAATCCCATTGTATTGTGAATGAACCTCGAGAAAATCTGTCCTTTTCTCTAAAATATCTCCACGTTCAGAATAAACGTTTTTTAAAAGTAACAATTCATTTTAAATTTATAGAAATAAAAAATATTTTTAATTCATTTTGAAATTAACTAATTTTTATTGATTATGAAAGAAATAATAAATGTGTAATTAATTAAAGGCGAATGTAGAATAATAATATAATAATAATAATAATAGAGTGAAAATTTATTCCTGAAATTCAACAATAATTTACTTCCAAGATGGTTTTACACATCCAGGTCGAGTTTGTGTCACAGTAAGTCAGATATCTATTGTGGAACGGCCACAACTCTGACAGTTGCGACTAATAGAACCTGCATCATTTCATGAGTAATTTATTATATAGAAGTAATTTATATCACGAGATTTTACATCAATTATTATATTATCGACTAATAACTCTTCCTCTATAAATATAACTTTGCATAATAAATTATGTATAGGTTCAAGATATTATATATTTTCAAAATAAGAATTTCTATTTACACTACCATTGTATTTCAAAATTCTACTCGAATAACAAGTGATTATAGTGAAAATTAATAATTTAAATTGATTGCTTAATTTTTCTTTTCATTCTCATTAAAATCTTTAATATTAAAACAATAATAATTATGTTAATTAAAATTGTTGCAGAATCCTTGGATTCCCATTACCTACTATTGGAAATATTTAATCCGGTGGTTTCCGGTGGTTCTACGGATAGGTGAGTTTTTTTTTTTTTTTTTTATTTCAAAAATTTAATCTTATTAGGAAAAAAAAAATATAAACTGTACTCTTAATGCGTGACATCATCGTGTAGTACTTTGCGACCTTAAGGCTTTAAGATTTTTTCACCCACTCGTTTTCATCATGTGATGAATATATGAATCGACTATCGCCCTCTGAATATCAATCATCTAAATCTACTTACTGCCTCATTCGTCTTTCTCCTTTTTCTATCATTTTTCTCATTTATATTACGTCAGACAGCGTACACTTTAAGCAATGATATGTTTAAAGTACACTTTTTCATAATATAAAGAAAGTAGAATTATTTACTTCTATAATATAAATACAAAAAAAAAAGTTTTTTTACTCTCTAATTTATGACAAATATTTCTGTAAAAGGTTTTTAATTAAATTTTTTTTATCTATTTTCTTTTGTTAATATTTCTATTATTTGCATCATACAAATATATGGGTATAAGAGGAATTTAAAATGCATTTTATATTCCGAGCTCGAAAATCTCTCAACTTCGATAATAATTTTTCACCGCTTTACCTTTCGTATCATGTGCACTTTTCCATAATGCAGATTTAGCTGCTGCGTGCAAAGTGCAGGCAAATTATTGAAAAATTTGAAGAATACCCTTCTATTTTTTTGTCGGCATATAAGTCTCACACCGCGGTCACATCGATACTCACAAGCATCCCAGAATTTAGTAGTTTTTTTTCTCTCTCTTTCTCTTTTTCCCCATGGTATCTAGACTATATTTTATTTTTCGCCAAAAAAAAAAAAAATGATATAATTCTTGTTTCTCTGGAAAGTAGAAGTTTACTTGATAAAAATAATATTTGTTTCCTTTTTTTAAAATTTAATTTAACGTTCGTAATATCATATTAATTAAATTCGACACAAAATTTATGAATATATGTTTTACTCAAATAAAGTAATTTATTATTTCATTTGTTGACTTGAAAAAAATATGGCAAAAAAAAAGACACATTTATTCAAGTTGTTTTTTTCCATTCATAATACTTAATTTTCCAAAGTGTTTTTCTTGAGCTGAAAGGCGAAAAAAAGCTCTATTCAATTTAGAACTTCAATATCGAAATCGAATACGAGTACATTCATATAAAATAGTCCCTCTTTCGGTAGATATTTCTTCATTGCCCATAAATCATGCGGATTCTGGTCTGCATCAGTGACCATTTCTGGATATTGGAGAGGTACCAAAAAGATTAAAAGTTTCTGCTGACCTCCACTCGAGTGGTCAAATTGCAACAGATAAAGATCAAATTTTTAAATTCCGAAATTAGACACTCTTTTAAATATGTAATATTCTTCTTTTTTGAACCAATTATTGATAATTGTTTTTATCACCAAAAAGGCACTTAGCGTTAACTATTATTACCGTCAAGTACACTTACCGTTGGTTACAACTACCCTCTATCATAATTAGCTTCTTATGTTACTGTATAATTCTGTGTACTTACCGTCTAGAAAATAACTATGATTAAGTGTACTTACCGTCAAGTGCAATTACCGTTGGTTACAACTACTTTCTATCACACTTAGCTATTTCTGTTACTGTCTAATTCAATTCATGGTTTGCACTTACCGTCTATACAATAAATATGATTAAGAGCACTTACCGTTGACTATACCGTCAAGTGCACTCACCGTTGGTTACAACTGTCCTCTATCACACTTAGCTACTTCTGTTACTGTCTAATTCAATTCATAGTTTGCACTTACCGTCTATACAATAAATATGATTAAGAGCAGTTACCGTCGACGATATACCGTCAAGTGCACTAGTTACAACTACCCTCTATCATACTTAGCTACTTATGTTAATATTTGATTCCATACATAATTTGCACTTACTGTCTATACAATAACTATTATCAAGGGCACTTACCGTTGGATACAACTCCTCTTTATCACAATTAGCTACTTCTGTTACTGTCTAATTCTATGGATAGTTCGCACTTACCGTCTACAATTACTTACAGTTGACTGAAAGTACAATTTATTGCAGACACCATCGGCTTTAGTTTAGAAAACTAAATTGCACTTTCAAAGTATCACTTTAACTACTATACCGTCTAGTAATAACTACTGTATCTAATGTTTGTTAGCTATAAAGTTTGGTTTTAAAAAAGCAATATAGATATAGATATTAAAACTAGAAATCTAACAATAGCGAGCTGTTGTAATTGAGATTAATACTGTAGTGGTAGCTGCAATTAAATTTCATATGAGGGCACAAGGGAATGTGTTCGAGTTGATCGTAAATTCGTGTTTTGCAAGTGAAATCCGATTTTAGGGAGGGTAGTATGACGACAGTATGGAAAGCCCTATGGAGTGAAAATCAAGAGGATATTGATCAAACTCTTAATGTTCTATTGTCATTAGCTGACAAAGCTACGCTGACATTTCACCAACCACGAGCAAACATTGTTACTCGAGAAAGACATTAATGGCACTGACCAAACCCGCGTTTCAGTTGTATCAACATTTTCCTTGCGAATTTTCTTGTATAATTTTTTACCTTATCTATTATTATTTTTTTTTTAAATTCAAATTTGAAATTTAAATTTTGACTGTTTCAGTATATAACAAATATTATTGAAATAGAATATTGCAAACTCTAGAGCTTTTACATTTTTTTTTGACAAAACTATAGATTTTCATACACATTTTTCCATCGTGGTTTCTTATTTTTCAATTTTCTTTTTGCTTTATTCTTTTCTACTATTTTAATACTTCCTTTATTCTATTTCTTGTGGAGTTCAACTTTCTTTTATACATTCCTTTACCCTTTGTTGTATTTTATTTTCGTTTTTCTTTGCCTTGTCAAAGTTCACCTTTTATTTCTACACCACCGTTTTTTTTTTTACTTTTTTTCCTCTCTCTCTCTTCGTTTTTGCATATAAAACAATTTTCCACATATTTAAATAGTAGAAGTTGAAAAATAGAATAATTTAAAAAATTAAAGTAAAAATAAAGTTATTTATAATTAAGTGAAATTATTTTTTTAAATTAAACTTCAACTGTGAAAGTTCAATTATTTTCAAATAATAGAATGTAATTAATGTCCTTCTCTATAAATTATAGTACGATTCTATCTGTGTAATTAATCTACAATATTCTATTTCAAATTATAAGTAGCATTTGATATTAGTCAGTGATATAACTCGTTTCAAGTCAGACATTATTGCATTATAATATTTGTTGAAAGAATATCTTGACAAACATTATGAAATTAAATATGACAATGTTAGCACTTACCGTCGATTATAAACTATATACATAGATTCTGACAAAATTTACACTTACTATTGTAACAAATTATGATAAAACTTACCGTGAATGATTCCTGACAATTTTGACACTTACCGTCATTATCAGTAACGCTACTTACTGTCAACCATTAGAATGGAAAAGTGCAACACTTACCGTCGATCATTACAAATTATGATATCACTTACCGTGAATGATTTCTGTCCATTTTTACACTTACCGTCATTATCAGTATCGCTACTTACCGTCAACCATTAGAAAGGAAAAGTGCAACACTTACCGTCGACCATCACAAATTATTATACCACTTACCGTGCACGCTTGACAATTTTGACACTTACCGTCTATAGTGGTACCAGTACTTACCGTCATCCATTACAATTGATAAGTGCAACACTTACCGTCGATCAAAACCAATTATAATATCACTTAACGTGAATGATTTTTTTTGACAATTTTTACACTTACCGTCCTTAGAAGTATCGGTACTTACCGTCAACCATAACAATTGAAAAGTGTAACACTTACTGTCGATATTCACAAATTATAATAACACTTACCGTGCACTCTTGACAATTTTGACACTTACCGTCTATAGTGGTACCAGCACTTACCGTCAACTATTATAATTGAAAAGTACAACACTTACCGTCGATTATATCACTTAATGTAATATTTATCGACTAGTGTCTTATATTACCATTAATTTTTATAACCGTCTATCCTATTAATTATTAGTTATTCAACTAAAACTAAAATTAATTTGTTTTTAGAAAAATTTATTTACAATAAACAATAACCGATTTATTATGTAATAATTCGTAAATTTCTACATATTTTTCTTTGGAAAAATGACGCTTTGGCGATTTCGATTATGTGGTATATATCTTAGGCCAAAGTACTACTTGACCGAGCTTGTCACGCAATTCTCTAGTGGCCTCAACTGTACTGAACTTGTGATAACGTAAATTCATGATTCCCTTAACTTTAGTATAGTGAACATCGGATAATGACTACTACCAGAATTGTGGTTACTGTTGCTTGCTCGTTAAATAGTTGCTTCACCACACTGCTCCAATTATTCAGGCTCTCGAACTTGAAAGACTCGTTCATTGTCGTGTCACAAACAAGGTCGCTTCGTAAATAATTCTAGGCTTCTATAATAATTTATAGGCTCCCGAAATTTTACACTCATTAATCACCACTTTAATTACCATTTCATTCTTCATTATTTGCTATTTTTACGATGCACCAAAATTTAACTTTTTTTTTTACAAAGTTTTATTTCTTCTATTTTATATTATTTTATTAAATTATTGTCAAAATAAAATAATAGATCTATTATGGTAATGATGACATTATGTTAGGATTATAATAATAATAATTTATCATGACAAAGGGATTGGTTAGTAGAATGAATATCTAATGAGAAATTCGTTAAAAGAGAAAATGAAAACACTTTATCTTTCGGGGGGATTTATATATATATATATAGGTCAATTGTTTATGCTTCGATGGAGAAAATTATGATTGTCGTTAATGAAGCACTTGAACAATTATTTGTTATTATTATCATAGTCAGGTGCTTTTCTTTCTTCAGGAAAAAAGCTAAGGGGATCAATAATTATTATTCTCATTGTTTGAGAAATTGCCATTAATGCAACCTAAATTTCAGAAACGAATATGTTGAGACTATGAAAATGTCAAGTTAAAGGTCACTTTTATATAGCCTCTAAATAACATTCAAAAGGAAGTCATTTACGAACTAGTTATCTGGACTTGTCACTCTTAAGTCCTTTATATCATTGCATTCATATTTAGAAGATATATATTTCATTGTTTACATTTATCGTTGCTTTTTTATTTCACTTATCTTATTATTGCTTTTATTCTGAATTCTTTTCTTATTTTATTACATTACAAAAAAAAAGATTTGAATTATTTTATTTGAAAATTAAATCTAACAATAGAAGGTTCTTTTCGCAAAAACACAATATAAATCATGAATGATGGAATCACATTCTGGAAATCTTAACGATGATTGAAGCTCGTCCTTCGCCTTTTTCGTCCCTCTGCATACTCTATAATTTGGCAAATAATTACAAGCTAACTTGACAGAATTGAATAGTAAATTTAGATTAGTTGTTTGAGGGAAGTCTTGAAGTGATGCAAAAGAGATACTTCTACCATGCCGATCTAGAAAAGATAATTGATTTGGCTCCTTTTCAAGTGGAATTAGGTTTTCTCATGAATTTTATTCCCGGAGATAATCAGCTTATACTCCAGTGCAAATGAACGAACCTAAAGTAATGCTTCATTTCCTCAGGAATCAGAACTTACTGAGTCACTTAGCGAATCACAATTTTGTTTCATTAGTTTAACTTTTTTTTAAAATCTTATTTATTTCAATTCGTTTAACGATAGTGTAACGAAATTTTATTTAAAATAATTACCGTACATGTAACACTTACACTTACCGTGTGTCAATTTTGACATTTACCGCCGATAGAAGTAATCATTGATAATACTTACCGTTGATACTAACTACCGTTAATACTACTTACCGTTGATACTACTTACCGTTGATACTAACTACTGTTAATACTACTTACCGTTGACACTACTTTCCGTTGACACTACTTTCCGTTGACACTACTTTCCGTTGATACTAATTACCGTTGAAACTACTTACCGTTGATACTAACTACTGTTAATACTACTTACCGTTGATACTACTTACCGTTGAAACTACTTTCCGTTGATACTACTTACCGTTGATACTACTTACCGTTGGTACTAAGTACCATTAATACTACTTACCGTTGATACTAACTACTGCTAATACTACTTACCGTTGATACTACTTACCGTTGAAACTACTTACCGTTGAAACTACTTTCCGTTGATACTACTTAACGTTGATACTAACTACCATTAATACTATCTGCAGTTGATACTAACTACCGTTGATACTACTTACCGTTGATACTATTTAACGTTGATTCTACTTACCGTTGATACTAACTACCGTTGATAATAACTACCGTTGATACTACTTACCGTTGATAATAACTACCGTTGATACTACTTACCGTTGATATTAACTACCGTTGATACTACTTACCGTTGATACTAACTACCGTTGATAATAACTTCCGTTGATACTACTTACCGTTGATACTAACTACGGTTGTGTGAGTAGTAGATTCATCAGTAACACTTACCGTGACATTGGACATTTATATTGTTTTTATATCAATTAATTTGCTTTCAGTGATAATTTTTCTTTACAATATATAAATTTTTGCGGAAATTTATTCTCTCGTTTGACGTGCGTTTTCATCTCTCCGAGACTCGACGACCTTTTACCGAGTTAAATTACAGTGTGGACCTATTCTGATAGAGAAGGACTGCTGCGTGTTAATGGTTGCAGGTGCCAGGGAAAATTTATTTTTTGCCCTCTAGAGCATTTCTTTCTTGTCAACAATAAATGAGCTTTTTATAAAGAAAAATTTTAATGATAATAGACCTTTATGAAAATCTCAGAAAATCTCAATGTAAATTGCAAACTAAATCCAATTTTTATGGTTTTTTTTGGTTTGTTTTTTTATTTTTCTATTCTATGATAAAAAAAATTGTCTTATCTTATATATATATATATATATATTCGGTGGTAGTGTAATATGTGGTGTGTAAGAAAATGGAAGTAACAGATGTGTGAAATGGATAGAATACATTTGATTATTTTTGAAAAGTCACGAAGAAATATTTTATATTGCAAAATTCGCAAAATATGAGAAAATTATTTACAAAATTTGTTTTCAAATTTGCAATGTCATGAAAAATAGAAAATCGGAAATCTACCCTTATTCTTTTCCATTTAAACTCTTTGAATATAGAACTGGTAAGAGTTCATTTATTAAACACATTTCAATAGAATTACATTTCTAAATTCAAAGGTAACAGAATTTTTTTTTTTCTTTTTTCTTGGGTTTTTAATTAATGAAACTTTTAATGGGGTTAAGAGTAAAATATACGTGAAAAGCCGTATTTTATCACTGTAAACATCAAAGCTCGTTTTATAAAGCTTTACGAAAAACTTGTGAATCAGAGAACTCGAGAGTTCATCATTGCCATTAGGTTGAAAATTTAATGCAGATAATAATTATTATTCGTGATTCTCACTAAAAATTCCATTAAGTCAGATTATTTACTTTTTTTCGATCAAAATATCTTTTAATAGCAACAAATGATTGAGGGAGGATATTTTATTACTTAATGATACAATAAATGTTTCACGAGTCATCGTGTGTAGATTGATGAAGAGTAGTAATGATCCTGCGTTGACATTTCTGAAACTGGCCAGTGCTAATAAATCTGTGTCAAATTGAATATATATAAATTCCACTGTTATACCATTTTTTTCAGTGTAAAGACATTTTTATTTGAATTCGAAATTTATTTTTTAAAATAGTAAGAATACGATTGTTAAAATTTTAGTAAATTATTATTAATTTCTTTGTTTTTTATTCTGTAAAAAAGGAAAATTAATTATAATTCCGTTTTTATTTTTGATTCATCATTTTATTACGTAATGACTAATTAGAGTAATTTTGAAATTAATTCCAAGTGAACGAAATGCTAATTAATCTAGTTTTTTTCGTTAAGGATTATATTATATGGATATTAGTAATCCGCAGTGAGCTTGGTAAAAACATGGAAAATTAATGAATGTCCAAATAATTAATTTTTTGAAATTTAAAATCAAAATCTTAAATCTCCTCTTGAATAATTAGTAAAATTTAATGACTATACAGTGGAACCAAAAATATAAATAGAAAAATGATATAGGTTATATAAATGTAATAAAAAAAAACAATAGACAGTGGTAAAATGTGACTAAAACTCCCGAAAAACTGTAGAAAGCTATATGGATGAGTGCCAAACACTAACATACTGACAAACCTTTAGTACTCGTAGTTTAAAAATACAAAGCACTTTTTATTACCTCAATGATAAAGATTTGTGTATGCATGTATTATATATATATATATATATATATATATATATATATATTTGAGAAAGTATTTCCGTGAATGAAATAAAAGATTTTCTTGATGCCGATATGAAGATAAAGTTCTCAAGAGTCGTAAACTACTTTTACGGAATCATATTTGCAAAGAGTACCACTATAAAAACGATTTTATAGCCCTTAGTTTTTTTTCTCTTAAGTCCAACTCCCCTTAGATTTCATGTTTACCAGTACTTTTTCAAAGACTAAGTGCATTTATAATCTATTTAAGTGGTCACTGTATATGTATATATAGGAAGATTAAGCTTATTTGAAATTCATTCAACTTCCTGGATGATAAAATAGTACAAAGAATTTCCACCAAGTATAGATTTTGAATATTCAGTATCAAAAATTGATTTCCCATTAGAATTGTTCCTACCGGAAAGCAGTTATCCTAAATCATTAATTGACATCAGGAAAAGGTTTTTTTTTTAAAGCAATATAAATTATTCCACTTTTTTGTGAATCATGTTCGAAACAGATCTTAAAATTGTTATCTTATACACGAACCTTGACCTACATAATTAAACGAGGACAATGTTTTTTTTAATCTTTAATTAATCACTGATTATAACTAAAGTTGATTTAACGTAAAAGATTATCATCGACTTCTAGAAAATTATTGTAGTGCCCACTTATCGTTTTAGAACTTTTACCGTTGACACATACCGTCAAAAGGTGTTTGGTATTTATAGTTTCTTGTAAAAATCTCCAACTGTACTTAGTAATTACCGTTAGGAGTGAAATACACTTTTGGCACTTACCGATTTTTGAAACTTCTACCGACGGTACTTACCGTCAAGTGTCAACAAACATTAGTACTTACCTTCAGGCTAAACAACAACTTTTAGCACTTACCGGTTCTTGAAACTCCTGCCGAGGGTACTTACCGTCAGTATTAATATCCACTTTTTTGCACTTACCGGTTTGTGAAACATACCGTCAAGTGTAAACAAACATTAGTATTTACCGTCAGTAGTAACATTCGCTTTTAGCACTTACCGTTGTATTACATTTGACAATCTTACCGTCAGTTTAAATATATTAATAATTAATTCATGTAATTTAATTAATAAAAAATGTAGATAACTATCACAGTTAAGGTAATATAATAGCAGATGTTCTTGAAAATTGTTCACTTTATCTCTGAGCGGAAACTTGTACGAAATTCAACAACCTTGACGTGACTAACAGAAAGTTTCGAAGATTTAGAATTGATTGCTTGCTTATTTGACATATATATATATATATATATATAGACTGATTTTAGATACAAACTTGCTACAATTAAATTGTCTTTTCTCTCATGATGAAGAGTAATTTGATGAGGCGATTGATTGTTGGAATCTGATTTCAGAAGAGGGTGATGGCCCGTACGACGCGTACTCGACGAAAAATGGCTAATACGACTGGCTCTCCCTCTTCCACGGGTAGCCTTCTATCAACCCCTTCGACGACACCGTTTACCACATCAACAACGGCAACCTATTCCACCGAGGGTTATATTTTTAATTACAGTGGCCTCGCCAGCCAAGATGGTTACTTACTCAATGATATGAATTATACTGAACTTTGGGTTGACGTTTGGAATAGTACCGAGGCCAGTAATATTACTGAAAGACTCAATGTTACAATTTTATCAGCCGAAAGCTATTGCGATGAATGGGAATCAGCTCAACATAAACTCTTTCAAGTAATTAATGTCATTGAAATAAATGAAAAGCAATTTTTTTTTCTAATAACATATCTATAAGAAGGTATCATTGTTCTTATTTTCGCAGGCAGCAAATCTTTTCTTCGCAGCAGCTTTTCTAGTTCCAAGATCTTTTAAGGCATCTATTCTTGCTTTGAGAACATTTCTAACTGCTGGATTTATGTTATCGGCACTTTGGGCAGGAATAACAATTTGCTCATTGGATGCAATGCTCTGGTGTTTGGCATTGGGTCTTCTCAATGGAATTCATTCACTTATATTGGCCTGTAGATTTTTACCACCAGCTTTAAGTCCCGAGCTTGCTGAATTGTATCTTAAACTCTTTAAACCTTATAAAGTCAGTAAAAAGCATTTTCAAGAACTTGCTAAAGAAGCAAGGATTTTAAAATTAGATCCTGGCCAAACTTATGCAACCGAGGGTGTCACATCAGCTGATGAGCGACTATCGATACTCCTCCGGGGCAAGTAAGTTACAATTTTTTGTGTTTTTTGATAAGTGTTGAAACTTTGATACATAATTAAAGTGAAATTAATAATTTAGGTTGAAGGTGACTTGCGATGGAACACATTTGCACTATGTGAGGCAATATCAATTTGTTGATTCACCAGAATGGGAAGCAACCCATGAGAATCTAGACGATGTCTTCCAAGTAACCATTAGAGCTGAGGAGTCCAGTACATATATTTGTTGGACGAGATTGAAACTCCTCAGGGTATTGAGGCATAGGCCGTTATTAAAAGTAGTCATCAATACACTTATTGGCAAAGATATAACATCTAAGCTGTATGCCCTAAATGAACAACTGGCAGGTGTTGCTGCGGCTCACGAACACGCCGTATCAAATCCTTATCGTGGTGTCGCCAGAAGTCTTAGTGTTGATGCTGTAAACACAGAAATTGCTGGCAGAGTTCGTTCTACGACGTGGAAAGCCCATAGGAGATTTAGCAACGCTCGAAGTGACAGTAAGTAGAAGTTTTTTTTATATAGAATTCATTCATTTTCATTAACTTTTTCATTTATATAAAAATTTTCGGAATTCTGGTACTTACTGTCATGTGTAACATCTTTCCATGGCACTTACTGTTCCTGAGAACTCCTACCGATAACACTTACCGTCAATAGTGAATTTTAACTGTAGCACTTACCGTCAAATTTGTTAGTAAACGCCGGTACTGACTTTTAAGTCTAACATCCGCTTATGGCACTTACCGTCCTTTAAGACTCCTACCGATAGCACTTACCGTCAAATTTATTATTAATTGCTATACCTACTGTTTTGTGTAACATTCTCTTGTGGCACTTACCGTCTCTTAAGATTCCTACCGATAGCACTTACCGTCAAAATTATTATTAAACGCCGGTACTTACTGTCAGGATAAACATCAATTTATGGCACTTACCGTTTTCTTAGAACTACTAGTAACAGCACTTACCGTCTGTAGAGATTCATACGGGACGATCTTATCGTTAATAGTAAATTCTACCTACAGCACTTACCGTTAAATTTATTATTAAATGCTATACCTACTGTTATGTGTAACATTCTCTTATGGCACTTACCGTCTCTTAAGATTCCTACCGATAGCACTTACCGTCAAAATTATTATTAAACGCCGGTACTTACTGTCAGGATAAACATCAATTTATGGCACTTACCGTTTCTTAGAACAACTATTGACAACACTTACCGTCAATAGAGACTTCCACGGAAAGAACATACCGTCAAAAGCTTTTAACAAACAAATCGTCGCTTTTAATATATTCCAATTATATTTTTCCGAAATTGATGTTACTGTCGGTAACACACATTCATTGATTGCACTTACCGTTATATTTATCCTTTCTTATTGGCACTTACCTTCTACAGTTTATTGAAATTTATTATTTAAAAATAGGGGGACAAAAAAAATTTACATTCTATTTAAATAAAAGAAATCAAATGTGTGAAGAAAACGTGCGATATTAATGTCATGCAACTTGGGAGGATAAGAAACTAGACAGAAATCTGGTCTATTGAACTGTAGAAAGGTATAAGTGCCAGGTACGGCGTGTGCATGACATTAAATTGAACCTTATCAACGTAACATTTTCCAGATCGAGCAAAATCCGATCACGCAATAAATGTTGAAAAGTACATATATATACGCTTTTGATACTATGAAAAACAAAAATTCCGAATCATGTAACTATATTTTTATCGTTTCGTTCTGCTCCAATATTCGCTTTTTCTATTTAAAAAAACAATATATATATAACGCAAAAGTTGTATTATGTGTGTGTATCATTTTCACAAATCCAATATTCTTCGGCTTTATCTTCTCAGTTTATTTTTTACCTCGGTTTATTTTACATAATCCATAGAGGGAATAAACGGGGGGATATAATAACATGGGATTTCTATTTAATCAAGAATTTTTTAAGATTTCTCCGATTTCAATTAGAGATAATTTACGGGAAGCTTTTTTTTATATAAAAAGGGATTTATTTTTGTTTCTCTTATTTTTTTTTTGTAGAAAGTTCACCAGCAAGATTTTCTCACCAATATTGGGCACCAGTGGTAGCGAACCATTTTCCAGCAACGTCGCCATTTACCCAAACTCAAAGTGTTTATGCCGGATATTCGGGGTATTCGATGTTACCTCAGGGTATCCAGTTTTCGCCACCTCCACGAATTTCAAGCTCCTCGCATCAAGCTTTATCGCGACAACGAAGCGGCGGTGCCAGTGGCGATTATACTTTACTGCCACAGACTCCAAAACTCGAGAGAAAGCGTTCGAAAAAGGCCGTCAGAGAGGTGAGTTTTATAATACTTTATTACTTCTTTATTAAACAATATAATGAAGAAAAGAAAAAAAAGGATCTCTTTTAGTTTAAATGGTTAAAGGAGAACCTTATTTTACCAATAAAAAAAATATATATAATTAAAAATTATATTCTATTTAAAGAGCAATTATAATTTTTTTTTTCCTTTTGAGAATTTCTAGATATTCTCAAGAGAAAAACCTGACAAAATCTTTTTTTCTTCTGTGCTAAATTTCTCGGGAAATGATGCGTATTTGTAACAAAGAAAGAAGATAGACTTGAGAGTGCTTTAGTTAAGGAGTCGAGTTTAAAAAGAAATAGAAAAAGAAAGGCATCTTTCTTTCTTTCTCTAAAGTTTTAAACTCGAGGGGTCGAGGATCTTTTTCTGTTCTTCGTTAGGTTGACGTCTCAGGTTCATAATCTATTCACCCCCGAAGCTTCTGGCTATAATTCATAACAAAAATGTTTCACTTCACTCTATATACTTTTTTTTCTTTTTCAACAGTAGCATTCCAATGGCTTTTATTAAGATATATTTATTAAATTTATAAGAAAGATGGAAAGAAAAAAGTAAAAAAAAAAAATACTAATGAAATTTAATGACAAATTATGACTTAAATTTTCATTTTACCATTCTTAAATATTTATAATTAGCACTTTGTCGTCAATGGTAAATTGTACTTATTGTCATTAAAAATTGTACCCATTGCACTTACCGCCAACATTAAATATTAATGATGACACATATCAATTGCATTTACCGGCATGTCTCATATAAATCATGGAAATATTATGAAATTTCATTTTGGTTTATGGAATCATAGAAAACTCATGGAAATTCTGACTCGCGAACTACTTTCGCGAATTCGTGGTCTAATTTCGCGGATTTCTTGACTTAGATTCGCGTTATCTGTGCCTCAATTTCGCGGGATCCGTGATCAATTTTTGCTTAATCCGCGACCTAGATTTGCGTAATTGGTGATCTAATTTCGCGTAATACGTGACTGAGTTTTGCGAAATTCGTGATCTTGTTTCGCGTAATCCATGACCTAATTTCGCGTAATCTGTGAACTATTCTCGCAAATTGATGACCTAGTTTTTGCGAATTAGTGACTTACGTTTTTACGAATTCGTGATATAGATTCGCCTTATTCGTGACCTAATTTCGCGGAATTCGTGATCTAGTTTCGCGTAATCAATTACCTAATTTAGCAAAATTCGTAACTTAGACACTAGTTAACTGTGCCCCAATTTCGCGTAATCCGTGATCTAATTTCGTGTAATCCGCGACTTAGTTTTGCGTAATCCGTGAAAAAATTTCGCGCATTCATGACGTAGCTTTGTGTGATTCGTAAATTAGTTTTTGCGAATCCATGACCTAGTTTTGTGGAATTCTTGATCTTGTTTCACGTAATTTAAGACCTAATTCCGCGTAATGCCGTCATCTAGTTTCGCATAATCCGCGACCTATTTTCGCGAATTCATGACATAGTTTCGCGTAATCCGCTACCTAGTTTTTGCGAATTAGTGACCTAGCTTTTTTTTTTACTAATTCGTGACATAGATTTGCGTTATTCGTAACCTAATTTCGCGGAATTCGTGAAATAGATTTGCGTAATCCGTGATCTAATTTCGCGTATTCATAACTTAGTCTTGCGTAATCCGTGATCTACTTTTTCCGAATTCGTGAGCTAGATTCGCGTAATACGTGACCAAATTTCGCGGATTTCGTGATCAAGTTTTGCTTAATTCGCGTTCTAGATTTGCGTAATCCATGATTTAGTTTCGCATAATCCGCGACCTATTTTCGCGAATTCATGACATAGTTTCGCCTAATCCGCTACCTAGTTTTTGCGAATTAGTGACCTAGTTTTTTTTTACTAATTCGTGACATAGATTTGCGTTATTCGTAACCTAATTTCGCGGAATTCGTGAAATAGATTCGCGTAATCCGTGATCTAATTTTGCGTATTCGTAACCTACTTTCGCGTAATCCGTGATCTACTTTTTGCAAATTCGTGACATAGATTAGCGTAATTCGTGACCTAATTTCGCGGAATTTGTAATCTTGTTTCGCGTAATCCGTAATTTTGTATAACTTACCGTTAATATTAAATACCAACACTTACAGATAATTTTAATTACTATCAATTATTGCACTTACTGTTTAATGTTAACTGTGAATCGATTGATGCTTCTAATTTAGCAAATTCAGAAAATAAATTTAATTTTTTTTTTTTTTTGGCTTACTCAGATGAGTTTTTTGAAATTACAGGTAACATTTGAGACGCCTGTATGACGCTCGCTCGACGGGGAAGGCCCCGCAAGTGTGCCACTGCTGTCGTTGTCACCACAACGAGCTGCCTAGCCCCGTCTTTTTGTTAATCGAAAAACTCTACATTTCGTTATTAGATTTATCATTTAGTGACTTTTATTTTCATTTTTTCTTCAAGGAAACAACGTCTTCTATGACGTTGGGCCTAATATGTGATCCGTTGTGACAGTGCCAAGACGAATTCCACTCAACAAGGAATTTGTTGATGAAAAAAAAATCCAAAAGACGATCTATATTAAATAATATATATATATATATATATAAAAATAAGAACATTAAATTTAAAACGTGACAATTTTTCTTCTTTTTCCGCAACTAAATGTGCAGTGAGTAGAAACGTGTTTTGATGAAGTAGAAATCTTATTTACGATACTATAACAATGACGTTTAACAAAAATAATAATAACGGTGAAAAAACGTATATAAAAAAAAAGTGTTTTGTCGTGCAACTATTTTGACCCTCAATTCGATAAAGAGGCGATCAATCATCTTCTTCCGTAACGCGAATTACGTTCCGCTACGTAATATAGTGATCAACTAGACTCTAATTTATAATATGACCTTCCAGCAAGGCAGTGTCGATGATCGAATAATCGACGATTAAAAAGATATGAAATATACTGGATGAATTTATCAGGAACTTGATTGTGTAGAGTAGAAAATTCTAATAGTGAAAATGAATTGTGTATAGATACGGCTGAGTTTACAATTTTTTTTTTTTTTTTTTTTTTTTGCTATGTACGTAATTTTTTATAAATAGAATTTTTAATTTTATTTTTCATTTTTGTAAATTTATTTTATGTTTTTATTATTTCAATATTTTTTAATATTTTTTTTTCCTTTTTTTGATTTCAGTTCATTTCACATGTTGTCTTTTCACAATGCTGCACTTTAACACAAGGTATTTCATTATTTTATTTATTATTTTATAATTTACTGTAAAGAAATTTATACCAGAAACAATTAAAATTTTCTCTACAACAGATAAAACTTCAACTGTTTTAGAAAAATATTTAGCCACCCCAGTAAATATTTTAGTTGTTCCAAGTAAACATTTATTAATATTATTTTTGACATTATTATTATTATTATTATTATTATTATTATTATTATTATTTCTTGCTTTTATTATTAACTATTATCATTTTTTACGATCATGTGAAGAATAAGAGGGATTTAAAAATATATTCAAAGTGGAAAAAAAATTTTTTAATTAAAATCTTTCAATTTCAATAAAATTTAATAACTTTGCATTCAATTTAAAACATTAAAAAGGAACAATTCATTTAATTATTTTAAATCAAATTAAATTTGTTTTATACTCTAATTTATTAATTGACGATAAATTTAAATTGCACTAGGATCAAATAAATAATTAATTAGTGAGCACAATAAATAAATTGATTTTTTTTTTTTTTATTAATTATTGTATTTTTTTTTAATTGAATTGATAGTTATTTTTCATTTTATTATGAGAGAAGAAATTTACACAAAGAGGATTTCCATCATCCAATCATTGTTAATGAAAAATTCCTCAACGTAAAGCCAATTATAGAGAGATTATGAGAGGAATGCGTGTGGCATTTCATTGGATTCAAAGTTTAATTTAAATAAAGAATTTTCATTCATAGATATTTAATATTAGTATTTGATACCATTTTAATTTAAAGTAAATTATTTTTTTTTTGATATCTTCTTTTTTTAATTACGTCAATAAATAATACACAATTTTTATCAATTTTGCATAAATTTGGATATTAAATTTTTAAAATTCCTTTATCCTTTCACATGACGATAAAAATTGTTATTTATTAGAAATCGGGGATTATTTTTAGAATTTTTAGCTTATTTAATGTATAATTTTGAAAAACATAAAAAAATGAAAAAAAATTATAGTGCAGTTCGTAATATTTTATAAGGTATAAATGAAAAGTTCGTTTGTAATATGTAAAATGAAACATGAGTTTTATTTTTGCATCGACTGATTATTATTAATGAATAATGAATATAAGAAACTATCTCCAATAAGTTGCCATTAAATGTAGACGTTTATCAGTTTTTTAAATTAATTTCTCAGAGCTAAATAAGTATTTAGTTATTTTTTTAAATAAATTTTTATTTTTTTTTTATTTATTTATTTTTTACTTGTTTAATTAAAAAAAAAAAGAAGTAAATAATACTTTTATTTTGTACAAAGTTTTACTTTCATTTTATCAATAAAGCGTCTGAGATAAAAGTGGGTTCGACAAATCGAAACCAGTAAGTTCGACTTGAACCATGAGATATATGCATAATTATATATTTAAAAAAAAAAGTTAAATAAATTTAAAAACCAAAAATTATTACACACACACAAAACAATATAATACTTTTTTAAAAAAAAGTGGAAAAGATTTTTAATAAATGCTTCCTAAAGAAGAGAAAAAAAAACACAAAAATCCGCAGTGCTTCGTTAAAAAAAATAAAGCATAGATTATTATTATTATTATATGAAAAAAGAGCAAAATTAATAATTTTACGCATCATTTTACTCGAGTACTTAGTAACGTCGCGATTAATTATAACATGTAGATAAAAACATGTATGTTTGTGTTTCTATGTTTATATAATCGTCGCGTATGAATGATCAGTCAGAAAAGTCTTTTAAAAAAGACGCAAAAAAGCGAATTTAAAAAAAAAAATGAAGATAATACGATTCACTAAATATCACTGTGTCGTAGTGATTTATGTGAACGTGAAATAGATGCGCACCTATGTTAATAAAAAAGGCTGTAAAATATATTTAAAAAATGATACATTTAAAAAAATTGGGAATCTTTGCATTTTTCTAGAAGACATTCATTTTTTTTAAATAAATACAAAAATTAATAATAGTTAAAAATTTCAGACAACGAATATTCAATATTTTTTTCTCTATACAATTTGTTTGAGAAAATGTTTCATTAATGTACGAATTTTAATTTTAAAATCACTTTAAGATCTCTTGTGATATAAGTCACTTTTTTTCAATTGATAAAATTATAACAATATCGATAAAATTACATATTCAAATCAATCTGTTCAATATTAATAAGATTCACGTATGTAAAATTATAAACAGTCGAAAAATTAAATATTCAAATGATGATTGGTCGATAAAGTAATTTTATTATCGACAAATCCGATATCGGTAAAAATTATCAACAGTCGGTAATGTCATTTTTTTTTAATTATCGACAAAACTCGTTAACGATAAGCTTTGCATAGATAAAATTACCAACTGTCGATAAAAGTATATAATCGAAATATTTTTGCGCTGAAAAAAATTTTATATCGATAAATATTAAGTCGATAAATCGAAAAAATTTTCTATCAATATTTTTCTATTGTCAAGAAAAATTGTATAATATAAGTATCATTTAGATGAAAAAAAAAAAATGATTTTTTGTAGAAAAATGTAAATTCCCAAAATATTGTAAAACAAGAGCGCATGTTATTGATGTTGTGCAAAACCATGTTACAAAAACCGAAAATAATGTATAATACTATTAATTATTATAAGCAATAATTATTTATTACGAATGACTATATATTATTATTATATAAATATATTATATATGTTCGTTGACTATTATGTTAGAAATAAAACAGAACCGAAAATTCTGCTCTATTTCAATTTTAATTCGCGAATTCATCATAATAAATTAATATTTATTTTAAAAAAAAGGGTTTTTTTTTTTATGGGGTAGGTAGAATGAATTTCATTTTAGTTCGAAATATTTTAAATTTTTAAATAAAATAAATATATATTATATATATATTTTTTTTGTATAAATATAAATATATTAGGATATATCATGGAAAATGTGATTGTTTAAAGTCAAAAATTGGTGATGTAGCAAAATTATTGTCAATAGTGGGGAAAATTTGTGGTTGTTTTGTTGAATACCAATCAATTTCAGACGATTGTTCTGTAGGAACAATTTGTGTTCCCTGTAATGATAACATGGAATTCATTAATTCTTGTGAATTTAATTCCTCCGATTCATCTTTATTGTCAACTCTTGAAATTTTGATTCTTAATTTTGGATTCGATCCTTTATTTCCCTGCAAAAAGAAAAAAAAAAAAAATTAGTAAATTAAAAAATTTATTATTAATTAATATAATAATACTTTTTGCAAATATTTAAAATATTTTCGTTTAGTTGAAACAAAAAAAGTTTGTAAAAAATTTTCTTTTACTTTTAATCTAAATCGTCTATGTCCATATTTTGGCACATAATCATCATCATCTTCCAAATAATCATCATCATATAATACATTACGATCATAATGCCGATCTAAATATCGATTATTCATTTTCCCATGTTTTTTTGGTAATTCTATTTCAATAACATATGGTTGATGTTGACTTTGATCCTCAATGTAATCGTTTTCCATGTAATATGAAGATGGAGATCTGAAAAATTAATCACATTAGAATATTTAATAAAAATAAAAAATATTAATAATAAAAATAAAAATAATAATAATAATGATAATAATAATAATAATAATAATAATAATAATAATAATAATAATAATAATAATAATAATAATAATAATAATAATAATTAAGAAATTACAAAAGAATATTATTTTGTTATTTCTATAGAAACTATTTTAGTAATTAATTATTTATTAGTAATTTAATTATTTATGATTCTGTAAATCATTAATAACTTAACAATGAAAATGATTTACATATTATTTATTAGAAATCTAGCATTTCACAATCACATATGTGGTGTTTGCGAAAAGAAAAGAAATTCACTCTTTTGAGGACATAAAAAAAAATTAATACAACTTTCTCATATTAGATGAATATGAGAACAAAGAAAACGAAATTTGACAAATTGGTTTTAAGTTTTGAAAAAGAATTTTTTTTTTTCACAATTTTGTGTCACTAAAATTTTTTTTTTTTTTTTTACCTCGAATAATGTGGTCTATGAGTGTTGTAGTATGTATATCTGGCTGGAGGTTTATAACGTTTACGAGGTGATGGATGCCATCTCGGTCTATAATATGGTTTTGGTCTATATCGTGATCCAATTTTGTAAGGCCTTTTTCTCTTGTATTGTTCACGATACTGAGTGGTCCTTTCTAGCATCATTAAAATTATAAAAAGCCAGAATATCTAAAAAGCGAAAAAAAAAACATTTTTTCGTGAGATATATAAGAAAAATTTGTTTATTTTTCTACTTTTTTTTTTAATTTAATAACTTTTTTAATTGCTTCAATCAAAATATTGTTTGGTGTAAAGAATTTTTTTATTTTTATGTTATTATTTATAAAAATTATTTTTATTAATTTAATTTATCAGAATCTCGGTTTGGTATTAATTGTAACAAAGAAAAATATTCTAAAATTGAGAATAATTTTTAAAATTTTTAGGTATATATATTTTTTAAGTATTATTAAAAGACAAGTTTTAGTGGCAACTTGTATAATTAATTTCACGGTAAATAATATTATTATTATTAGTCATGTAATTATTTTTTATATACTTCCAAGTGGGTTAAGTTGTATGAAGCGAGTAATACAGACAAAAATGAGAGAAAACAATAATAAAATCTCGATTTTCACTTGAAATATATATATATATATATAGTCTCCTCATATTTATATATAACTCAGGTCCATAACGAATCACCGTTACTTTCGAAGAAATTCATTTGAAAATGAAAGACAATTAGAGCAGTCAACTTGAAAATTGGATATTTCATTAAGAGACGGAATTTCCAGATTCACTTTTCATGATTTTTTATTTTTTCATTTTACGACCATTTTACCATAAAAATTAATATAAGAAAAGAAATTGTTTTTGAAAACACAATTATTATTATTATTTAAATTTTATTTCCCGTAGAGAAAGGAGACTAAGTAAATAAAATAAAAATAGGTCAGAGTATTTAAAATTTTCTATTCCATTAAATTTTGGGATTATGAAAATATAAACGTGCATAAAAAAGTAACTCGAGCACTATTTTTATTTTGTTAAGAAACTCCCGAGGACTTGATGTTGTTAAGAAAATTATAATAATGATTATAGTGATAATTTATTTTTATTTAATTATTTTTGCAAAAGAAGAAGAAGAGATCGATAAAATTTTAGCATTTTTTTTTCTTATTTTTCTTATTCTTTATATTATATTCATTTTCATATATAATAATTAATTAATAGGTTTAATATAAAAAAAATATAATTTTTTTAGTGGGTAATAATTTTAATTTCTATTTAATTTAAATAATTATAAATTAATTCTAATTTTAATTAATATTTCAAAATATGGAAAATAGGGAAAAAAAACGAAAAAATATTTTTTAAATAAAAATAATGAAATAATTAGTTAACTTACATTTATGTGCATCCTATGAATTTAAAAGTATCCGCTAGACATTATCAAGAAAATAAAAATTGTTTGCTCTAATTTTTTCCAAATTTGAAAAAAAATTCCACATCATAAAATTTTCCTTTCAAATATTTTTTTTTGTTTTACACAAAATCACAATCACCAGAAAAACACATTTTTTGATTCACAAAACATTTTTATTAAATAATAAAAAATTTAAATAATTGTAGTTATTTTTTTTTATAATTATAAAAATTATAAATTTATAGTAAAAAAAATTTATAATAAATTTGTAAGTTTTTTTTTTTCGCGTGAATAATGAAGAAAAATATTTTTGATGACAATCGCTACAAGAGTCACTTGATTCTAACGGTATACCAACTTTGATTCGAATTCAGTTACGAACCATTTGAAACTGCAGAACACGAAAGCCTTTCTATATATTTTCCCCACCTTTTTTTTCTTTTTCTTCATCTTCTTCATCTTCTTCTTCTTTGTTAATAACTCGCGAGTACAAAAATTATTACTTTCATTCTTCTAATTGCATATATAGGAAAGTAGATTTCGCAAAAAAAAAAAAAAAAAAAAAAATTATAAAAATAATTTAAACTGGTATAATTTGAAAATCAATATTTGAAACAAAATCGTCTCAAGATTCATTTGCAAAAGAAAAATTACAAAATAAATTAATATCCATATATTATTGTACGTTAAAAATTTATTAGCACTTTAAGTGTAACATTTGCACTTTACGATCAATAAAAATCTAATGTCTAAATGAAACGCTGCAAAAATTTGCAAAATTGAAGAAAGGAAAATCAGTATATCTATAATAATAATAATGATATTGTTTCTTTTATGACCGTGAAATATTAGGAATTTTTTAAACAAAGTTTCGATTTTTAATTATAATAATCTAAATAACTTTTTTTCCTGCGTTTTGATAATTAAAATTTTTATAGTTACAGTTTAAAGAAATATTTACACACTGGGCAAAAAATTTATTTGATTTAAATAAACTGCATTTGGTTCAAGTAAATATTTATTTGATAATAAAGTAACCGATTATTTTAATCAAATAAATTTTTTTTTCACTACATTAACAAGTGAAATTAAATAATTGAGGATAATTTAATTTTGTTTGTTTTTAATTTGTTATAATTTATTCTAATAAAGTAGGTATACATATATATGCAAATGTGTAGAATCTTAGGAGACTAATTTACAATTTTTTTTTTTATTGTTATAAATTAATTTTAATATAACTTATAAAGATTATCACACACAGAAAAAAATGTTTTTGATTCAAACAATCGACTATTATCAAATAAATAATATTTTTAATGGATTATTTGAATAAAAAATTTTTTTCTTTTTTTTATTATCACAAATGTCAATAACATTTATATGGGAAAACTAAAAACAATATGGCACGAATTGTATATAGTAAAAATGTTCTTATTCGTTGGGAAATTATCTTACTTTAAATAAAATTAATATTTCTATTTGTTTTTTTTTTTTGTATTTTTGATATGATTAGGAGTCAATTTTATCAGGATCGAAGCAGTCAGTGGGTTTAACCTCTAACCACCAGTCATTGGGGTAATGATACTTTTGGAGTTCGATACCTTCTCTTGGGACTGGTATCGAATGACCACCAAATTGCTTCATTGGCAAAGGTGAAATTACCAATTGTGGTGGAAAGCATTGTAGACTAGGAGATAGTTCGCAATCAGGTGGCAAAACCCTTCTTGTCCAACCGACCCTTCTAACCATTTGAGTCTGAAATAAAAAATTGAATTTTTCAATTTTATTTCTTTTTAAATAAATAATTTTTTGTTTTTTATTTTAATAAATTCCATATTGGCAAATTATCATTTAGGAAGCATTTAAAAAAAAAGAAGAACATTTTTTTTTTAGATTTTTATAGAATTTATTTATTCTCAATTTAAGGAATACTTTTTTCTTTGTTGTAAGTTTATATTTAAAGTTTATTTTAAATGTAAATATATTTATAATTTATTGTTATTTACAAAGAAAAATCCGTAAACTGAAATTAAGAATATTTTATACTTAAATTTAGTATTTATATTATTCTTAAAATAAGAATATATACTTAATTTAAGTATAAAATATTTTTAATTTCAGTTTACATGTTTTTCTTTGATATATTTTATTTCATTGCGTCAAAACTTTTTAGCTAATTAATTTTCTAGTGATGCTATTATTTGAAAAATAAAAAAATATATTATTTTTTTTATTATTTCCTAAAACAATTGTCTTTTATTTTTGTTGAGGAAATAAAAAAAAAGACGAATTTCAAAATTAATTTTGACTGCTTTTAAAATCAATTGTCTCGTTTATATTAAGACTTTCCGGTACTCTTTATAATGTGTTTTGAAATATTAGATATATATATATATTATTTCGGTGAGAATTGATTATAATGTATATAAAATCGAATTATATATTTGGATGAATAACATCAACAGAAATAATTCGTTGATTGTTATAGTGAAAGTGCGAGAGATTTTTAATCTTTTTGATTTCAAAAAGACGTCACATTTTAGTGAACAAAAAGAAAGTGAGAAAATTACGTAAGATAAGTATATTTTTTTTATTTATAAATTTTTTTTTGAATTTGCAATTTCATGTTTTAAAAATGTATTTTCTACTTATTTTTAAATTTTTGTTTATTATTTATTATTTATTACTACTATTATATTATTTATATAATATATTATTTATATAACATATTATTTAATAAATTATAAGTTATTATATTATAAATTATAATATTTAAAAATTTTAATATATTATATAGTAAAAAACAAAATTCAATAAGTAGTATAAATGAAAATCAATAATTCTCTAGAACGTTTATCCCTTCCAAAAGTTTTGATGATTTACGTTAATTGGCTTAATTATCGCCAAAGGACGGCCTCTTTATACCTCTCCTAAATTATTTTCATTTTCATATACCTTCTAACAAATCCTTAAATTTTCAAATAAGCAGTTGACTTTGGAACACGAAATTAAACGAAACAGAAGTGGAATAATTCATTTAAATCGAGGTAATTAACATATTGATTTGTAAAATTTTTTAAATTAAAAAATTATTAATAATTTTTAAAAATAAAAAAAATTTTTTTGTATTTTTAATTATTCTAATGTTAAAGTTAATTTTTTTTTCTTTTTTTAGCAATTTCATATTTTTCAGCGACACGTGATCAATATTAAAGATGTTGTTCTCAAACGCACCTATTGTTCATCATTATCCACTAGGATTTAATCAGTAAGTACACATTTTTTCAATTATATTAATTAATTATTATTTTTATTATTATTTATATAATTTTTTATATTTTTTATTTTGTTTTTAAAATTTGGTATTTATTTTATTTTTAATTTATTAATATTATTTTTTACTATTATAATAATTTTTTTACCAAATGATAAATTCCAATATATAATATAAAAAAATAATAATTACTAATTAGTAATAATTAGTACCTATTAATTAGTAATATTTAGTAACAATTAAATACAAGAAATTATAATTAAAATTGCTTAATTGTTTTGTCAATATTAACAAAATGTGAATTTATATTTTTATGATTAGTAATGATTTTATTAATAATAATATTAATAATAATTATTAGTATTTGTTTATTATCTTTTGGGATTACTGATAGATATATTATTAATAATATTATCTTTTAGTAATAATATTGATAAACTAATTTTTATATGTTTATTATTAATAGTAAAGAATTTTTTAATAAATAATTATATTATAATAATTTATATTTATTAAATTTTTTTCTCCAATTTTATATTAGTAATTTGAGATTCAAATTTTATTGGAATTTCTATGTTCTAATGAAATTTTAATGAAAATCAACAAATGAAATAAACACGTGTATTGTTCTCTTTTAAATGATGCCAAAATAGATGACAAATCAAGTATTGTTAAGCAGTAAATTTCTCAGATGATTTGTATATACATAAACAAATTTTATTTTCATTGACGATATCTATTACTTTCATTATTATTATTATTATTATTTCTGTCAGTTATTATATAATTTAACTATATATTTGTTTTTCGTATTTAATGTATATATTTTTTTAAATTTAAAATCTGCAGTCATGGAACATGTTTTTGGTCTTTAATGTGTCATAATTGGTTAATTGAACACAATTATCATAATGGACAATTATTGGCAATAAAGGACAATGAGGAAAATGTGGAATGGTAGGAATTTTCAAAAATTAATTAGCGAAATATATAAATTTTTCATTTTTAGATTATTGTTTATATTTAAAATTAATATTATTGCCATTTTGTAAAGTTATCTGTTTTTTTTCTTTTGTTAAATAATTATTTAATTACTTTTTTATATTTTTTTTATTATTATTTTTTTCATTATTTTTTCATTATTAAAATTTTTATTGTTTATTAAATTTTTATTTTTATTTTCAGTGTTGATCGTGAAATAAACGAATTAACTAACAGTGATAATAGTAACGAACTAAGGAACAACAATAACGAGATAAGTAACGGTGATAATAGTAACGAGTTTAATAACTTTAACGAGAATAATGAATTAATTAACAATGACAACAGTAACGAGTTACATAATAATGACATTGAAAGTTGTATTAGTGATTGTAATTCATCAATTGATTCAATGGCCGCTGAAAATATGCCAATAATGGGATATTATTTAACAAGAAGCAAAAGTAAATGGATTAATATTTTTCATTTTCCAAATAATCCAAAAAATGTTAAAATACTCAGATTAGGTGGTTATACATGTAAAAGGCAAGTTTATTCCGAAGTATTTTTTAATAAATTATCATGGGATCGTTTATTTAAAGTGAGAATGTCAATATTTCAAGTTCTTGAAAAAAAATCAAAATGTGAATTTTATGTACATTATTTGGATTATAATTTTAGTGTTGAATTACATATTTACACGGTTGATAAAAGAAAAGATAAAATGTTGTGTTTCATTCAAAATCAAGATAAATTTTACATGAAAAGAGAAACTTTCATTAATTTATTGTCACATAATGAATGGGTGAGTAATAATTTGCCCGCTGAATTAGAATATTAATTTGTCATAAAAAATAGATATATTTTACATAACTGTGATTTTGATGTATTTTTTTTATATGTATATATGTGACTATTTTTATAATGTATATAATTATTTGTATGTAATTTTTTTTTTTTGTTGAATTCATGTAAATATTTTTGTTATATTTTTATGTACATACGCTAGATTGATTAATAAATTAATTATTAATCCTTTAAGTCTTTTTTTTTTTTTTAATAAAAGATCCAAATTATTTTTTATCTTTATACAATACTTTGATTGAAGCAAATTAAAAAAAGGGGAAAATAATATATGTTAAAATTTTTTTGTAAAAATTTAAATATTTATACTTACAACTGTGTCTTCTTCGAAGACAATAATTTCCACTTTTGGTGCATCTTCACCAACTTCATGTTCCTGCACGAGATAAATTCCTGCAGCATGCATATAAGTGGCACTTAAACTTTCTTCTCTAAATGCTTTTGTAATGAGTGCATCATCTCTTAAAGTGTCGACTAAACACAAATCTACTTTTCGAACCCAAGGGAGGGCTCGTCCTATTCGCAATTGTCCCCAGAGTCCTCCGAAGCATAAAAAATGCACGAGGCTCAATTTCGTCAATACCAAATGAACCCTGAAAACATTTTCAAAATGAAAATTAAATATTTTTATTACCAAAAAATATTGTTGAAAAAAAAATTATTACTACTTTTCATTTAAAATTATTATAAATAATCGAAAAAAATTTATTTCATTGAAAAAAATAATTTTTATTCCCTCGTTGAGTTGAGATAAATATTATTTTAATAAAAAAAAAAAAATTTGAATTGAACAATTTTTTTTATAATTTTGTTTTGTTCAATAAAAGTTTACCTTGTGAAATTTCTATTACCATCAGTTGATAACAATACCGACGGCTGGTAAATTGAAAATTTTCTTTTTTAAAATTTTAATTTAAATTAAAAGTTTGTTCACCTGTATGTTAAATCGTGCAATCTTTCGGTAAATTCTTCAGGAACACTGCAGGGCTGTTTTGGAATTTCCTCTTTATTGAGGCTATACCACAAAACAAAACTGACAAATAAAATTGCCACCAGCGCACGAAGCGGTGTTATACGAAAACGTCTTCGTTGCCAAAAGCTCATGTTGATAAACTAAATTATAAAATGAACAACAATTATATTTTTAAATTTTTATAATCGTCACACACACACACAAGCTAATTAGATTATAATTATGTTGCAAGTGTAATATTTTTTTTACTCGAAACTAAAAAGAAAATAATAATTTTTCTTTAAAAAAAAAATTTCTAATAGTAAAAACTGATTAAAAATTTTATTAATTTAATTTTAAAATATTTTAAATTATTTTTTAAACAATTGATACTGTATGGTAAATAAATATATTTTTTTTGCCAATGTGGGATAAAATAAAATGAAAATGTTTTCAATGTAACGCGTTGAATAATTTTGAGAATTTTTTTTTTTTTCTAAAGGAAAATTGTATAATAAGTTATAAGTAAAAAAGATTATAATGTTGTTTATGTGTGTCGAGTGATAAAAAGAGGAAGAAAAAAAAATTTATGAGAAACCATTTATTTTTCCATTATAGAGAATAAAGAATTAAAAGTGAAATTCCACTTACTTTTAATATTCTTGTACCTCATGACACAAAAAAATGTAGAATTTTTCAAAATTTATTGAAAAAAAAATATGAGAGAGCAAAGAAGTGTTCAGTGAACGCCGAATGTTTTTGAGTTCCTACTTGTAAATTAAGGATTGAACGTGGCAACGCTGTTAAATCGATGCTAAACTACATTATCGACTTGAATTTCAAGTTTTAATATCGTAAGGTGCTTCCCTCTAGTGAAAATATAAAATATTTTTCATTTATTATTTAATTTTTAATATTTTTTCAAAATAATTTTTATTACATTATCTATAATTATTATAATTATACAATATTTTATTATTAATTTATTATAATTATTATAATTTTTGTATTTAAAGCAAATACTATTTAATTTCCTCAAAAATTATTTGGTTCAAGTAAATATTTACTTGATAATAAAATGTAAATCTGTAAAAAAAAAAATACCAAAGATTCTAAGGAGTTTGATGTTTTTTCACGTTATATATTTAACTATTCGGTTCACGTAGAACAATACTGAATTCAATCACGAATTCCCATTTACGAATTAGGAAATTGTTATCTTATTCACCATTGGGCGAGAATTGATTAATTCCCTAAAAAATGTTAGAAACCTAATTTTTGAACTAATTCTTAAAAAAAAAATTATCTCTTTCTCAAATCTTTTAAAATTTAAACTTTGAAATGAAAAATTTTTTAAATAACAGTATGAAATTTGAATAGTAATTTGATAAAAAATAATTTTTATTTTCAAAACAAGAAAAGTAAATGTTAAATGAAAAAAAAAATTTTTTTTGTAAAATTGGCGCACAGATAAATTTGACGACTGGTAAGTCCCAGGACAAAGTAGGACTCGTTGCGAAACGGGCGGTATCCTTTGAGGATCCTTCAATCCAGAGACGGTCGTTGAAGGTTTTTATCTTTTTACCCTCGCGGAATCTACGAAAAAGTTTTACGTACGCCTGAAATGCAACTCGCGCTTCTCTGTTTTAGTCCATCATCTTATATATATATATATATTTAAGATATGATGGACCAAAACAGAGACTATATCCAATAATAGTACAGTATAAAAAATCAATTTTTTCGGAAGTATTAACAACTTTTTTTCTATCAGAATTATCAATTAATATAAAAAAAAAATAGGATTTTAGTAAAGTTCCTTGTAATTCCCAAATAGTAGAAAACATATTGCCACAATATTGCAGAGATATTTCATGTCATTATTGCGAATATTACACGGAAATATTGAAGCAACCCAGGTAAAAAAATTAACATTACTAACGTTATTAATATTACTAAAGTTACTAATGTTACTAACGTTAGTACCTATAAAAAAATTAAGAAAATGTTTCTAAATTGTATTTTTGCAGAAACTTGTCTAAAATCGACCACCAGGAAGTATTTATGTTCTTACCGCAATTTTTATAATTTTCATTTCTATTATCACACTTCCACTTTTTTATTTTCATTGCCGTTTCCACTTCACTTTTTCTAATTCTCATTCTCATTTTCATTCACTTTTTTTAATTTTCATGCCCATTTTCACATCCACTTTTTTATTTACATTACACTTCCACTTTTTCTAATTACTCATTCGCACTTCCATTGTTGAAAGTGAAAGTGAAATGTGAATGTGAAAGTGGGATGAGAATTAGAAAAAGTGGTATGGCAATGAATATAAAAAACTGGAAGTGGAAATAGGAATGTGAATGAAAATTAGAAAAATGTGGAAGGGAAATGGGAATGAAAATTGGAACAAGTGGAAGTGGAACGTGAAAGTGGGATGAGAATTAGAAAAAGTGGTAGTGGCAATGAATATAAAAAATCGGAAGTGGAAATAGAATGGGAATGAAAATTAGAAAAGTGGAAGTGAAGTGGGAATGAGAATTAGAAAGAGTAGAAGTGAGAATGGAAGTGCGAATGAAAATTAGAAACGTTTAAGTGGAAGTGAAAGTGGTAATGGGAAAGTAGTGTCAAAGTTTCTGTGAAAATATATTTTAGAAACTCTTAATTTTTTTATAGGTACTAACTTTAATAACATTTAGTAATGTTAGTAACATTAGTAACGTTAATTTTTTCACCTGGGAATATTAAAATTATAATTTCAAAGAATTTTGGATTTATCAAAGCGATTTTGAAAATTAATTTTTATTTTTATACCTGCATCGCGAATTGTTTGTTTACAATCTAAAGTACAAAGGGTAGCTCAAGCCGAAGGTGTAATAAAATCCTAAACATAATTAAATATCAGTTGCAATTCGTGTCTTGACCTGTTTAAACGTGCGATCAACGTGAAAGGAAATTTTTTTTTAAAATTTTAAAATCAATTTTAAGTGAATAGTTTCGAGAGAGTGTTTTTTTTATTTAGGGAGTGTTCGAAAATTTATAAATCGCGCGTGTGTTTGCTACAAATAGGAGTAAGGTAAAAAATATTTTTTTGATAAACAATAATTAAATGCAATTTAGATAAAATCTGATTGTGAAAGAAATTTCAGAATTCCTCAGAATAATAAACTTAATAAAATTGCGATTGAACATCAATTCAAAACTTTTTTCCAGGACAGTTACATTTTTTTAAACTAAACCTTTTGTTTGAGCGTTAGCGGAATTTTTTTAAGGAATATTTTATAGATATTCGCTCGTGTTAGTACAGATGCATAAAGGTGGTTATGTGTCAAATGTTAAAATGCGTTCGTCGAACAAATGTCGCATTCTTTTGCCCTGCACAAAAAAAAACAAAATTTTTTGCATATTGCCAGTTTAGAATTCAGAACGGTTTTAATACAAAATTATTTCACTGTTGTAAAGAAAATATGCAGAAGATTTGTATAGGACAGTTTGATTGAAGTATAATTGAAAAGTCTGTTTTTTTGATATTATCACACCTGCAATGTGTCACTATCCGAATAATACTGTTTTTATTTTTTTTTATATATAAATAGCAAACATTTTTACAAAAAAAATAAATACAGTAACTTTAATTATAATATTAAATTAAATAACAAAATTTGCTTGATTAAAAAATGTTCGTCTTTGAATAAATAGATTTTTTTAATTAATTATTATTAAATTATTAATTGGAAAAATTAAAAAATTTAATAAATGAATTCACATAAAAATATATATGAACTAGATTTAAGTAATTTCAAATAGTTCTCTTAATTGAAAAATTGAATTATAAAGAATGAAAGAAAAAAAAGCATCTGATAAATCAGAAATCCTAATTTTCTGTATGTTTTCTCTACGAGCATTTTCTCCATATTTAGTAATGATTTAATTTCTTGTACGTGATTGAGTTTACTCTTAAGTGAATAAAAAAAACGGAAAAGAAAAAAAAGGAACGTTATAGAATTAGAAATGTCAACTTGTATTTGACGAGATGCAATTTCACTACCAATTTTGGATACTATATATATAAACTTCTCCTAACGTAATTGAAATAAGAGCTTGGGTGGTAATCCATGTACGAACAAGAATTTATATTCTCTGTATTTGAGGCTTCTTAGAAATTATGCAATTTTTTTTTCTTTCTAAACATTCGAAAAAATCTCCCTTTGAACTTTTTTTCTTAAGACTTTTTTTGATGATAAACTATTTTTTATTGATAGGTTTTTTTTTAAGTAGATAATCGAGATGTTAATTATAATAGAACTAATGATGAGAAGGGAAGTTCATGTCGGAAGTCATGAAGGTAGAGTAACGTGGATGGAATTTAGATAGTGACACCAAGAGTCACCGGAATTTGAGTGTTGCATAGCCCGGGTACTTGGCGATCCTGGATTCATGATCAGCGATTCACGAATCCATTCTCTAATTTCGCTTCTTCTTCTCCTCCTCTTTCCCACAATTCCATTCTTTCTTCTAATTATTCTTTTTTAACCCCCTTTTTTCAATTTCTACAAAATCAGAAAAAATTACCCCTCAAAAAAAAACAAAAAATTTGCTTCTGGTTAAAATTTTAAAAAATAATTAACTTTTAATTTCGGTGGAAAAAAATTTAATTATACATGAATATTGGTTGCAGTTTTTTTTGTAATAGAGGTAATTACTTTTGTCTAATAGGGAAAAAGAGAAAAGTAGATTTTTCCTGGTAGGAAAAAATAATTTTTTATAGGCAATAGTATTTGGTGGGAATTTTTTTTGGGGGGGGAGTATTGAACTGGATCGTTCGCGTTCTTATGCTTCAATTCTCTTGACAGCATTTCGCAGTGCAAGTGGTATGTCTGGCGTTCTATACTGTTGAGATTCTGTTTGTACTACTTCGGTCTGAGGTATGCAGTCACGGATGCGACGATGTACACACAGTAACATGGTCGTCGGCGCATATATATATACCTCTGCCAACTTTTATCCCCGTCCACACGACCCATAAAGAAACAAGTCAAGGCGAGATTGAACTATAACAGCAAAAGAGACTGATAAATCTTTTAATTATTATTATTTTTTTTAATCCTGGAAAATAGGTATTACAATCAATATAACGCAAGATGAAACATTACTTGAGACGTTCGTTATTTATTTCCATTAGTCCGGATTTATCATTTGTCTTTATGCTCCTTTGTTCAAAGTTATCAGTTGTTTTTAGATACTTTTTAGTTGTTTTTTTTTTTGTTGTTTTAATAATGCAGATTCTGTCTAAATTAAATTTCCCTTGGAAAAAAAATTGAAGAAACAAAACAAAATATAAACTTGAAGAAAGTTTGCGTCGTTTAGCGATATATAGGTTATTATCATATCTTTTAGGGTTTTGTTTTGTCGACATTATTGCCGATGACGGTACTCCATGATTGGACGTCCCGACGCCCGGCGTTGTCATGACAACACACCCCATCAAATGGGGTAGGAACAGTGAGAGAAGGGGGGGGGGCGAATAACTCGCGAAAACACGTAAATTAAACGCTCTATGGGGGTTGATGGGGCGGAATGGGAAGCCGAATAGGTCCTGGCTGTGAAACATAGCCGTCATAAGCGGATATTAAACCATGTTTCCGGTATAAATAATACGCATTCACTTTTTCCTAAATGGCAAATAATAAAAAACTTTTCACACTTTCCACATTTTGGTATTTCAACATTTTTTCTTCATAGTAGTATTTTTCGAAATCTACATTTGTTTATTAAAATTAAATTTTATTTATATTTATTTAATATTATTAATATTTTATTGCCTTTGAGTTGTAATTTAATAGGAAAAAAACACTTTAAATGAAAATTTTTTGGATATAGGGTTTTCTTGATATATATTAAATACCCGCTTACATAGAATATTTTTCCTGATCACTTGAAATCCAACTGATGGTAAAACAGTTTTTTGAAAAATAAAAAAAAATTATCGACACAGGAATCTACGTTACCGACTAATGGTAAAGAATTCACATTTAAAAAAATTGTTTTACTATCAGTCGGTATGGCAAATCGCATAGCGTTCGCAAATGAAATTCGATTTTGCAAAAGTGAATTGTTATAATTATAAGCGAGATTTTGTTTATTAATGTAAATTTTTTTTTTTATTTTTCAGGCTGATAAACGTGTCACCGCAAAAGAAAAAATATCTTGATCCAGAAAAGCAACGCAGTCGCAACTTCAAAGTAAGTTTTTCTTTTTCTTAAAATACATAACAAACTGTAAAATTTAAAATTAGGGATAGGAGAAATTTAAGAAAGACCCTTTTAGAAATTAATTGATAAAAAATAATTTCAATCATAAAACTGAAAATGTTTTTTTTAAGAAAAAAAATTAAAGAATTAAAAAACAAAGAAAGAAATTATACTTTAAGTGGGAATCACACGGTCGGTCGCACTTTGAGGCAATAAGTAGAAAGGTTTTTACCATCAATTTAAAAGGCGAGGCTACTGATTCTATCGCGTTTAATCGGCAACTGATCGCATGCAAATCTATGCCGAGTTCGCGGTAAAACAAGATAGAGCGAGAGACGTGCGAGGCAGCAAAACGACGAAGAAATAAAAGCTTGGATATATACTAAAGAGAAACAGAAGGAGATCTTTTCAAAGGCGCACACTTTCCAAGGGGACTTACCGACAAGCGATAGAATCTCGATTCCGTGTTGCTACCCCTGTCCCCGTTCGCCAATCACGATCTCAATATTCATCTTATCCAAGAAACATCTAAACTCACCTGTGCGTGGATTGGCCTAATGGCTCGAACACAATAAAAATTCAAACTTTTCCAAGTTTCGCAAATTATTTTCCATTTTGTTTCGGATTTTTAAATTTCAAAAAATATAGTTAATTAGTTAACAAATCTTTTTTCAAGTTTTGTAATGAAAACATTAAAATCTATAAAATATTATAATTTTTTTAATAAAGTTAATTTGTTGTTTGACGCACACGTTACAGAATCTCTTGCATTGTATGTATATTAGACAGCTTGAGAGAAAAAAAGACAAAGTCTTTGAGTCCCTACACCTTTTGCTTAAGACATTACTTCATGCCGATTTACGATGCACCTGCCACTGTAAATTCCACACCTTAACTCAATCAATCAAACGTAAAAAGGCGAAAAAAATTGTTACATCAATTTTTAATGTTTAATGTCGTATATCTTAAAAATATCTTAAACTTTTTTTGGTTATGATTAAAAAAAGGGAGAAAAAAAATTCTTATTAACGGGATCGTATACGAATTTTTCGGAAAATAAAATATTCGAGATAACCACTCCGTAATACTGCCAAAACAATTAGCAAAAAGTCTCGAACAAAAAATGTATGGCGCACTTTTTGATTGGTCCAGCGGATGCTGAGCTAATCTAGAAAACAAATTCGAAAAATTTTTTAAAAAATTAAATTTGTGAGATAATCGTTCGGGAATACCACCAATAAAATAGGGAAAAAGTTTCGAACAAAAAATGTATGGCGCACTTTTTGATTGGTCCAGCGGATGCTGAGCTACACTCAAAAAGATTTTGGAAAAATTTTCGAAAAATTAAATTTGCGAGTTAATCGCTCCGGAATACCAACAAAGTCATTAGAAGAAAGTTCTGAACAAAAAATGTATGGAGCACTTTTTGATTGGTCCAGCGGATGCTGAGCTAAACTAGAAAACAAATTCGGAAAAATTTTCGAAAAATTAAATTTGCGAGATAATGATTCAGGAATACCACCAAAGTAGTTAGAAAAAGTTCGAACAAAAAATGTATGGCGCACTTTTTGATTGGTCCAGCGGATGCTGAGCTAAACTAGAAAACAAATTCGGAAAAATTTTCAAAAAATTAAATTTGCGAGATAATGATTCGGAATACCGCCAAAGTATTAGGGAAAAAGTCTCGAACAAAAAATGTATGGCGCACTTTTTGATTGGTCCAGCGGATGCTGAGCTACACTCAGATAAAAATTGGAAAAATTTTGAAAAAATTAAATTTGCGAGATAATTAATCGGGAATACCGCCAAAGTCTTAACCAGGAAAAGTCTCGAACAAAAAATGTATGGCGCACTTTTTGATTGGTCCAGCGGATGCTGAGCTAAACTCAGAAAAGAAATTGGAAAAATTTTCGAAAAATTAAATTTGCGAGATAATCGATCAGGAATACCACCAAAGTCATTAGAAGAAAGTTCTGAACAAAAAATGTATGGCGCACTTTTTGATTGGTCCAGCGGATGCTGAGCTACACTCAGATAAATTTTTTAAAAAATTTTGAAAAATTAAATTTGCGAGATAATTAATCGGGAATACCGCCAAAGTCTTAACCGAGAGTCTCGAACAAAAAATGTATGGCGCACTTTTTGATTGGTCCAGCGGATGCTGAGCTACACTCAAAAGATTTTGGAAAATTTTCGAAAAATTAAATTTGCGAGATAATTGATCGGGAATACCGCCAAAGTCTTAACCCGGGAGTCTCGAACAAAAAATGTATGGCGCACTTTTTGATTGGTCCAGCGGATGCTGAGCTACACTCAGATAAATTTTTTAAAAAATTTGAGAAATTAAATTTGCGAGATAATTAATCGGGAATACCGCCAAAGTCTTAACCCGGGAGTCTCGAACAAAAAATGTATGGCGCACTTTTTGATTGGTCCAGCGGATGCTGAGCTACACTCAGATAAATTTTTTAAAAAATTTAATTTGCGAGATAATTGGTCGGGAATACCGCCAAAGTCTTAACCCGGGAGTCTCGAACAAAAAATGTATGGCGCACTTTTTGATTGGTCCAGCGGATGCTGAGCTACACTAGAAAACAAATTCGGAAAAATTTTAGAAAAATTAAATTCGCGAGATAATCGATCAGGAATACCACCAAAGTAGTTAGAAGAAAGTTCGAACAAAAAATGTATGGCGCACTTTTTGATTGGTCCAGCGGATGCTGAGCTACACTAGAAAACAAATTCGGAAAAATTTTGAAAAATTAAATTTGCGAGATAATGAATCGGGAATACCGCCAAAGTATTAGCAAGAAAGTCTCGAACAAAAAATGTATGGCGCACTTTTTGATTGGTCCAGCGGATGCTGAGCTACACTCACTAAAACTGGGAAAAAAATTTGGAAAAAATAAATTTGCCAGATAATGACTCAGGAATAATGCCAAATTCTTTAGCAAAAAGTCTCGAACAAAAAATGTATGGCGCACTTTTTGATTGGTCCAGCGGATGCTGAGCTACACTCAAAAAAATTCTGGAAAAATTTTAGAAAAATTAAATTTGCGAGATAATCGATCAGGAATACCACCAAAGTCATTAGAAGAAAGTTCTGAACAAAAAATGTATGGCGCACTTTTTGATTGGTCCAGCGGATGCTGAGCTACACTCAGAAAACATTTTGGAAAAATTTTGAAAAATTAAATTTGCGAGATAATCGATCGGGAATACCACCAAAGTCATTAGAAGAAAGTTCTGAACAAAAAATGTATGGCGCACTTTTTGATTGGTCCAGCGGATGCTGAGCTACACTCAGATAAATTTTTTAAAAAATTTGAAAAATTAAATTTGCGAGATAATTAATCGGGAATACCGCCAAAGTCTTAACCCGGGAGTCTCGAACAAAAAATGTATGGAGCACTTTTTGATTGGTCCAGCGGATGCTGAGCTACACTCAGATAAATTTTGAATAATTTGAAAAATTAAATTTGCGAGATAATTAATCGGAAATACCGCCAAAGTCTTAACCCGGGAGTCTCGAACAAAAAATGTATGGCGCACTTTTTGATTGGTCCAGCGGATGCTGAGCTACACTCAGATAAATTTTTTAAAAAATTTCGAAAAATTAAATTTGCGAGATAATTAATCGGGAATACCGCCAAAGTCTTAACCCGGGAGTCTCGAACAAAAAATGTATGGCGCACTTTTTGATTGGTCCAGCGGATGCTGAGCTACACTCAAAAGATTTGAAATATTTTGAAAAATTAAATTTGCGAGATAATTGGTCGGGAATACCGCCAAAGTCTTAACCCGGGAGTCTCGAACAAAAAATGTATGGCGCACTTTTTGATTGGTCCAGCGGATGCTGAGCTACACTCAGAAAAGAAATTGGAAAAATTTTAGAAAAATTAAATTTGCGAGATAATCGATCAGGAATACCACCAAAGTCATTAGAAGAAAGTTCTGAACAAAAAATGTATGGCGCACTTTTTGATTGGTCCAGCGGATGCTGAGCTACACTCAGAAAACTAATTTGGAAAAATTTTGAAAAATTAAATTTGCGAGATAATCGTTCGGGAATACCGCCAAAGTCTTAGCAAGAAAGTCTCGAACAAAAAATGTATGGCGCACTTTTTGATTGGTCCAGCGGATGCTGAGCTACACTCAGATAAATTTTTGAAAAAATTTTGAAAAATTAAATTTGCGAGATAATTAATCGGGAATACCGCCAAAGTCTTAACCGGGAGTCTCGAACAAAAAATGTATGGCGCACTTTTTGATTGGTCCAGCGGATGCTGAGCTACACTCAGATAAATTTGAAAATTTAAAAAATTAAATTTGCGAGATAATTAATCGGAATACCGCCAAAGTCTTAACCCGGGAGTCTCGAACAAAAAATGTATGGCGCACTTTTTGATTGGTCCAGCGGATGCTGAGCTACACTCAGATAAATTTTTTAAAAATTTTGAAAAATTAAATTTGCGAGATAATTAATCGGGAATACCGCCAAAGTCTTAACCCGGGAGTCTCGAACAAAAAATGTATGGCGCACTTTTTGATTGGTCCAGCGGATGCTGAGCTACACTCAATAAAATTTGGAAAAAATTTCGAAAAATTAAATTTGCGAGATAATGACTCGGAATACCGCCAAATACTATAGGAAAAAGTATCGAACAAAAAATGTATGGCGCACTTTTTGATTGGTCCAGCGGATGCTGAGCTAAACTAGAAAACAAATTCGGAAAAATTTTAGAAAAATTAAATTTGCGAGATAATGATTCGGAATACCGCCAAAGTAGTTAGAAAAAAGTTCGAACAAAAAATGTATGGCGCACTTTTTGATTGGTCCAGCGGATGCTGAGCTACACTCAGAAAAATTTTGGAAAAATTTTGAAAAATTAAATTTGCGAGATAATCGATCGGGAATACCACCAAAGTCATTAGACGAAAGTTCTGAACAAAAAATGTATGGCGCACTTTTTGATTGGTCCAGCGGATGC